GGAGGAGCAGAGCAGGGATAGGTGGGGGAGGAGGACAAAGAGGAGGAGGAGAAGGAGAAAAACTTCTACCTCGCTTCCCTTGCTGTGTAGTCGCCATTTTGACGTTTCTCTCTCTCGGGCTTTGCCGCCTTGTCTGACGAGCTCACAGCAGAAGTTGCTGAACCAAGAAAGTCAACGCCCATGTGTCTCCCACCCTTCACGACTTGCCTTTCCTCCTCTCCTCCTTCGGCTTTTCTTCCGCCGCCGGCCCGGTCCTTCCCCTGCTACTCTCCCTGCTCATCCTCAGCTGATTGAAGTTTGCGCGCAGTCGCTCCACCTGATGATCTTCGACCCTGGCGGAGGTGTCCAGGAGGACTCGCCGAGGTACGAGTTGTAGTAGTAGACCCTGCCGATACTGGTAAGATATGCAAATGACCATGCACTTTCCCCAATCATCTCCAGCGCTTGCGAACCTTGTTCCTCCCCCCTCCCCCCTCCTTCACTTCTATTCCCTTTCTACCTTGCACTTCCTCAACCTCCTTCACTTCTTCTTCAAGACATCCTCCTTGCTCCTCTCTGCCTCCCCTCCCCCTCCCTCATTTCCTCCCTCACCGATGCAGAGAATCGTATCCCTTGTGCCACCCAGGAGGCAGCCCCACGTCATGCTCCAGCGCGATGCTCGGGGGATTTTCTTTCTGCACCTTGAGCTGGGGGTGAGACTGGCTAGGAGGAGGACCAGCCTTCGCCTGCTCATGCTGCCGCTGGTTCGCCTGAGCCGGAGGAGACGCCCCTCCTGCTCCTCCAGCTGCGACGGGTTGGATGTGAACGGCTTCGACCGGGAGGTTCTTCCAGTAGTTTGACATCTCCTGAGAAGCCTCTGCGCCCGTTAACTTCTTCAGCTGCTGGCTAGCTGGACGGCCCGACTCCCTCCCGTATCTCCTCGAGCTGAGAGCCTTCTGCCCGCTCCTCACAGCCCGCCTCACCTGCCAGCAAGTCAGCCACCAGCAGCCCAGCAGGGCATGACAGGACTCACCTCGTCCGCTGCTGGGGCCCCGTACGCCTTCTGCAGGTTGGCGATGTACTTCCTGGTGCGGTCGTTGAGCTTTGAGTCCTCCTTCCTGTCCCGCTCTCGCTGCTTCTCCTCCTCCTTCTCCTCGGTCGGGGTGGAGAACGTCCGACTCTTGGCCACCAGCTGCGAGTTTGACGACTCCCTGCCAACAAATCAGCCGTCACATCTCAGAGGTCAGGGATGCCGGACTTCTTCTCGAGCTTGTTGAACCAGCTGGATATGTCCCTGCTCGCCTCCTGCCCGGACATGGTCCTTGAGCCCTCCCCCTTGCGTGACCTCGAAGTCCTTGAGTAGAACCTGTGCATGTCCCGGGACGCTCTGGAGGAGCTGAAGGACGAGCCGTTCTTTTTCCCTTCCCTCTCTTTCTGCTCCAGCTCGTACCCGGTAGCCTTGGCAATGTTGATAAGCCTCTGCTTCAGCAGCGCGACGTTCTTCGCCAGCTGTTTCCTCGACACCCTCCTCTCCATCGGGCTGTTGGGAGACTCCTGAGCAAGCATCTGCTTCTTCTCTCCCACCTTGAGTCCCCCGTGGGCCTGAGACTTGAAGTCCTCCCCTTCACTCCCGCAAGTCTGGCACGAGTGTGGGCATGCGTCAAAGTTGGCAGCCCCATCCCACTCGCACCAGAAGTTCCTGTCCCCCCCGACCCTGTACGCCTCGCAAGAGTCTCCGTAGGGCCCTCGCCATGTCGGGTTGTCGCTGCAGGAAGGGTAGCGCTTCATGGTTTTCACCGCCTTGGGAGCGGCGGACGCTCCTGCAAGCTGCTGCTCCTCCTCAACGATCTGGTGCACCGCTTCCTTAAGGTCCTGGACAGACACGAACTTCTGGTCCTGCTGCTGCTGCTGCTGCTGCTGCTGCTGCTCCCCCTTGCAGTCACATTTCTGCTTCAAGTTGATGATCCCCTGGCTGCACGGCTCTGCCTCACCGCACCCGCAGTCGCAGGACGGAGCCTGAGGAGCAGGAGGAGCCTGAGCCTGCTGCTCCGGCATCTGAACTGAGACCTCCATCTGCATGTGGGCCGGCAACTTCACGATCACCGGAGGCCCTCTAGGCCGGGCCGGCATCCCCGGAAACCCCTGGAACCCCTGCGGTCCTATCGGGCCCATGGGGCCCATGGGCCCCACAGGGCCCTGCGGACCCTGAGGACCGGCTTCTCCGGCTTCTCCCTTCTCTCCAGGCGGTCCTGCTACCCCTGGCTCCCCATCCGTACCAGGTGGGCCAGGGGGACCAGGGAGCCCGTCCCACCCGTTCTCTCCTGGAGCTCCCGGAGGGCCGGCGGCGGCCTGGCTGGAGTGACTGGCGGTTCCAGTGACGTTGACGTAGAGGTGGGGTTGGACGTACTGCTCGATGATGGGAGAGACGTGCTGCCTGTAGATCCTCGCAGGATGGATGATGGTCTCGACCCGTGGTTTCAGGTGGATGTCCCTCCGGATGCCCGGCGGCTGGTGGATGTAGGTTTGCACCTGAGGGGGCTCGACAATGATCTGGGTCACGGTCGGGTGCACGACCTCCCTGTGCACGGGGTAGATCTCAGACGTCCTCACGATCGGCTGCATCGGCTGTATCACCGTCTGTGTGGGAGTGACCACCGTCGTCGGATTTCCTGCGCCCTGCCCGTTCGAGATTGTGCGATAGTGCTGCTGCGGGAAACTCGCCCCGACGACCATTCCAGGCGTCCATGCTTGCGCCACGACGGGCCGAGAGACCGTCGCACATTTGGAGCTGCAGTGAGGATGATGCAGTGCTGCATGAGAGTGGCAGTTGCAGCTGAGCTGCCGCAGCTCAACCTCCGCCTGCTGGTCGATGGCTTGCACATCCGTCAGACTAAACAAGGCGGGGGAATGCCGTCACTCACCTTTACGAGCGCTCAGAATCATCTGCCTTGTTCGACACAGCTTGCCGCATTTCTGTATGGGATCGCTCTTCAACTGAGACTGTCCCTGCTCCGAGCCTCCATGTTCTTCTTGCCGGATCTTCGACTTGATGTCACGACGCTGCGCTTCGAGCTCCTTCAGCTCTGATGAATCCACATCCCCGTTCTCCTGCAACAAGATGGAGGCAGCAGGTTTCTTCCAGTACAAGCTTGAAGCAAGCACAAGGAGAACCGCTGACAACACCAGCAAACCCTCCCGCTGAAACCTCGTCATCGCTCTAATGGTTCACACCTGCAGCGCAGCCTCGCAACAGGCCCAGCGAGAGCGGAGGAAGGCACCACAGCACGGGGAGAGCTGCAAGGAGGAGGCGGAGAGGACCAGCAGGTTCTGCTCACTCTGACGCCTCAGCCATTGTCGCCGCTCCTCCTTCTTCGAAGAGCCACCCCACCATGACCACGCCCGCAAAACTAACCCCACCCATAGACCCCGAATTGACAGGCAATTGAGGGGTAGGGGTCACTACTCACCATCCTGGTGACTTCCAGAAAGGGGTGGGGGTATAGTACCCCCTGGTATGTACCACGGAAAATGTTGTTATAATAAAGGGTAGGCACGAAGATGCCACTGTCTACCCCCTTTCTGCTATACAACAGTTGGGTGGTATGAAAGTACCCGTACTTGATAGGCAGAGAATGAGGGTTGAATGTTGATA